TTGTTGTTGTCCACTTTTTGATTGTTCCCGCCAATAGTAACTGGCAACGTGAGAATAAATAACTGCAAATCTCTTAGATTATCCAGATCTTTTCTTTTTTGATATTTTGGTCGTCTTGGAAATAAATTCCGATTTTCCAGTTTCTTTTTCTTAGGGACTTCGAAAATTCTCTGAAAGAAATTGTAACGCCAAAGGATCACATTTTTCCATTTTTCATTTAAAGAAAAAAAAATTTGAATTGAATTTATTTTTAAAACATTTTCGTATAAAATATACATAACTAATAATACGGCCTTTTTTCTCTCTTTCTCATCCAGAATCATCGTTTGCGAACGAAGTGCGAAACGCGATTCAAGAGAAGCCATCAACCTTTAGATGGCATTACTTTAGCATGGGCCCCAAATCACTGAACGCAATCGTTTAAAACGATAAAATAAAGCAGGGAATTTTTAAAGAAACATAAATTACCAGCAACCAAAGAAAAAAAAAAAAAAAGACACAAAAGCAAAAAAGTTTTCCCCACTTGGAACTCTTAAGATCTGCAAATTTTATGTGAATCTACTGGTGACCCGTATTAGCAACTAATTGCTGTATGTGGACACAGACGAATTTTAAGCCATGTCGGTGACACTCGTTACCTGCACGCTTGGTCTTTTATTTGCCTACCCTGGGATTATTCGGACGGTTTCTACGGCTGAAGTCGACGACGACGCCCTCAAAGTGGCCAGATGTCGAGCAAAATGCTTGACTAAGGTAACCTTTTTCTTTTTCCTTTTTGAATTTTCCAATTTGAATTTTCCGAAAAATATTTAACTCTTAAGTTAATGATTAAATAGAATCATTACAAGTTCCACAACGATAAAATACCTAAGGGAATTAACCTATTGCATCTTTAGATATTTGAAACGAACAACTTTAACAAAATATTGCAATGACAATCATAAATTTTAATTTATTTCAGTTAGTAAGAGGGTACAAATGAAAACACTTGAAATTAATAAGTTTTTCCATTTCACTGAAGCAGACGGTAAAGATATGGTAATGTTATCATGGCCCCTATCTTCTTTACTCTCTTTCTTTCATTCTTTCTTTCTGTTCTCTTCCTTTACATGATACCAGAACAGCGTCTTTCATAGAACACTTCTTCAGTTTATTTGCAAAATCAAACAGAAATGGTTCATTGTTTATCTGAGGTAGTGGCAAGGTGTAACGTACGCGCTAACTACAAGGTCATTGAAAAGTAACTCCCTATTTTATGTATGATGGACTCTCCCGTCTAACTATAATTTTTACAAGACGGAAGAGTCCACCATACATAAAATAGGGAGTTAGTTTTAGTTGCAATGAATGAACTAATGGTAGTAAATGGAATATTCAGGTTGTCTGAGATTTTCCTGTAACTTTTACCATTCTTTCTAGAGCTTAACTATCAGTTCTTTTTGCGAATTTGTCTATTTTTTACCTCTTGCCATGATGATAAACTTCTTGCACGAATCTCAGTTACATAGTGTTCTGTTTGTATTTTTTAGGCTAAAAATACCTACTGATAACATTATTGGAATATTCTAGAATATTCCACTTGAATAATCTAGAGTATTAAAGCAATTTAAAAGTTTTTAATTCTGAAATTTGTATTGGACAAATACTTTTTGCATCCATAGGATTTATTTCTATTAAGTAATTTTTTTCTCTTTTCTATGCATATTAAGTTATTATGCATCTGTGTACAGTTAATTATATGAAAAGTATGTTTATTCATTAGTTGGAAATACAATAAATTAAAAATTTGTATGTGTACGAATATTTGTTTCCCCGCCCCATATATGTGTGGAAGTAAGAATGGTTTGGTTTGGTGTGTTTTACGGCATATCAACCTCAATAGGTTATTTAATGCCGACAAGATTTTTATTGCTGGTAATATTTTTTTCAAAAAATGTATTGTTGGTAAGCATTTATCCAATATTTTTTCCAAAAAATATATCGCTGGTAATGTTTTGTTTTTTTTAAATGTATTACTACTAATTTTTTTTTTTCCAAAAAATATATCGCTGATAATAATTTTTTCCTCAAAAATTCTTTGCTGGTAATATTTGTACAAAAATGTATTGCAGTATTAAAACCTATTTTTACACTTTCATAGTGTTTTGACCCCTTTTGGGGATTAACTATTTGCTCATAGCTGGGACCCTAACAGGTGCTACCACCCCGGGTCGGGGTGGACCTGGGAATACCAGCAATTAAGAGGTGGTTCCACGTTCCTCAAATCCTCCTGATCAGACGCCTTGCTGTTGGATGTTGTTTATCGTATAACCCTGGACGCAGATGTAGTTTATCGTCTTACCCAGGACGCAGATGTAGTTTATCGTCTTACCCAGAACGCGGATGTAGTTTAATGTCTTACCCAGGACGTGGATGTAGTTTATCGTCTTACCCAGGACGCGGATGTAGTTTATCGTCTTAACCCAGGACGTGGATATAGTTTATCATCATACCCAGGACGCGAAATAGTAATGATACAGCAGTAGTATTTGAATAAATGAATAAGCATTAAACTTTTTTTTTCAAATAATTCTTTTCACTATTCTTCGACTGTTATTTTAAATACTTTGTTTTAATATTCATTTTTTAAATACTCTTTAAAAAAAATTTCCTAAGTGTGGCGTGATATTTTAATTTCTTCCTAGGTACGCCTTTACTTAGGAATGGTTGAGAAATACTGTGCTAGCATTTATAAAACGTATTGCTCAACGAAGAAAAAATTCATAGAAAATATCAAAGTCGTCCTGGGTATGACAATAAACTACGTCTAGCAACAAGGCCTCTGGTCAACAGGTTTTGAGGAGCGTGGAACCCCCTCTTAATTGCTGGAGTTCCCAGGTCTATCCTGACCCGGGGTGGTAGCACCTGTTAAGGTCCCAGCTATGGGCAAATAGTTAACACCTAAACTTGTGTTTTAATACCAGAAATACTTTGTAAAAAAAAAAAAATTACCAACAATAATTTTTGAAGGAAAAAATTTTACTGGCACTACTTAAAAAAAAATACCAGCAATACAAACAGCTTTACATAAAAAAAAAAAATAACAGCTATAGATTTATAATTTTTCGGACTAATGTCCTCATCTTTGTCGCCATATTTATTACAACGCCACAAAAATCTCCTGAGCCGATCAAGCATAGAAATGAATACAATATGGGAACCAGTAATAAGGAGTGCCAGAGAAAAGCGATAACGACAACAAAAATTGCAATGTGAGCTCTGGTAAAAAAAAAATAGTTGCTGAAGACATTAGGTTCATAATACCCAGAAATTCATACACAGATGTCCTCAAGGACACAGTGGATAAAGGTGTTAGTTAGATCCAGTGACAGGCCCCAAAGAGTGTGAGTTCAATACCCGGCTAAGGCAGTGAAGAACTTTCAGAGGGAAAATTAACAGGCGACAACTGATAACTGACATCCATTAGACATGGCACGTGGAACTAGAACACTCTAACCCAGCGAGCGAAATAAAGGGTTCAGTTCGACATTCCAAACGGTCGAAACGTTGTAATAAATATGGCGACAAAGATGAGGACAATAGTCCGAATAATGTAAATAGGGTACATAATACCTCATCTCAGAAATATAGACAGATACTGAAGTGCCGAAACGTTGTAATGAATATGGCGACAAAGATGAGGACAATTCTCCGAATAATGTAAATTGTGTACATAATACCTCATCTCAGAAATATAGACAGATACTGAAAGGCCGAAACGTTGTAATAAATATGGCGACAAAGATGAGGACAATAGTCTGAATAATGTAAATAGTGTACATAATACCTCATCTCAGAAATATAGACAGATACTGAAAGGCCAAAACTTTGTAATAAATATGGCGACAAAGATGAGGACAATAGATTTCTTGAAGGAAAAATATTCTAAGAAGTAGATTTTTTGAAAAAGAAATATTACAAGCAATAAACATTTTTGTTCGGCGTTAAATAACCCTTTGAGGTGTAGATATGCCGTAAAACAAAAGAAACTAAACAAAAATATCAAAGCGGCTTGATAATTGTCTTTTGGTATGCGCCCTGGGCAAGTGCGACACGTGTTTGATAATGGCGTTAATGTATGAATGGTTAATGACCGTCGCAGATTGCAACGAAGTTGGAGCATTCAGACTGGTTGGCAGATGGTAAATTGCCATAGAATGAAGAAAGACGAATGGACACTTGAATCTGATCTTTGAATTACGCTCGAAATTTTAAGATGGGAAACAAAAGTGACTTAAGTACTAAGAGACCCCCCTCCACTAAAAAAAACAAAGCAAACAAAAACTAAAGTACCAACCCAGACACACAAAAAACTAATTCAGGCACGATGACATACCATAACCAATATGTATATATTTATAGAGAATGAAAGGGACTTCTATACAGACACGGCACGCGCACTTTCGCTTAGGGAGATACTGGGACAAGGGCTTTGCGGTTAACCAATTCCAGTGGTAAAAAATTCGGGGAGGAGGAGGAGAAGGCGGAGTATGGATTGAAGTGATAATGATGGGAAGATATGGAAGGAGGGAAAAAAAGAAAAAAAAAAATATGCTTTCAAGAAAAAGAAAGTAAAATGAAAAAGAGAGAGAAAAAATAAAAAAGACGTATGAAGAAAGAAAGAAAAGAAAGAAAGAAAGAAAGAAAGGGAATTAGTAAATAAAAAAAAAAAAAACGGAAAAGGTTACAATACAGAGAAACAAAGAAAGAAAGTAACAAAGAAGATGTTCTCAGCATTTTTGTGGTTGTTGCATATTTTGTAGATTATATAGTCTCCGGTTTTTAAGTTAAAATATTATTATGTTGTCATGAATTTCTGTGGATTCCTATTCTTTCTTTCTTTCTTTTCTTTTTTTTCTTTCACACTTTCTTTCTTTTTTTTATTTTCTTTTTAGGATTTTTTCTTCCTTTTTTTTTTCTTTTTTTTGTATTAATTTAGGTTTTTATTTTTCCTATTTCGGATGTTTCTTTCTTTTTTCTTTTCTTTCTTTTTTTTATTCACTTTTCTTTATTTTCCATTCTTTCTTTTCTTTCTTTTTTTCTTTCTTGTTTCTTTTTACTCTTATTTATAGGTTTGTTGCTTCCTTTCCTTTTTTCTTTTCTTTGATATTCTTTCTTTTTCCTTTCAACCTTTATTTTCCATTCTTTCTTTCTTTCTTTTTTTGAGTATTCACTTTCTTTTTATCATCTTCAACCTTTATTTTTTCCATTCTTTCTTTCTTTCTTTGAGTATTCACTTTTTTTTCCTCTTTTATTTTTCCATTCTTTTCTTTTTTTTTTCTTTCTTGTTTCTTTCTACTCTTATATCATATTTCTAGTTCCTCTCTCATAATATATTTCTTTCTTTCTTTCTTTCTTTCTTTCTTTCTTTGAGTATTCACTTTCTTTTTCCTCTTCAACCTTTATTTTCCATTCTTTCTTTCTTTCTTTCTTTTTTTTTTTTCTTGTTTCTTTCTACTCATTCATATTTTCTTTAATATATTTCTTTTTTTTCTTTCTTTCTTTCTTTCTTTGAGTATTCACTTTCTTTTCTCTTCTTTATTTTCCATTCTTTCTTTTTTTTCTTTTTTTCTTTCTTGTTTCTTTCTACTCTTATTCCTAGTTCTCTCTCATAATATATTTCTTTCTTTCTTTTTTCTTTCTTTTGTATTTTCCACGTTTTTTTTCCATTCTTTTTTCTTTTTTTTTTTCTTTCTTGTTTTTTTTTACTCTTATATCATTTTCTATTTGGGAATATTTCTTCTTTTCTTTCTTTCTTTTTTCTTTCTTTCTTTGAGTATTCACTTTCTTTTTTCCTCTTCAACCTTTTTATTTTTCCATTCTTTCTTTTTTTCTTGTTTCTTTTCTTTCTTTATATCATATTTCTAGTTCCTCTCATTTTTCTTTCTTTCTTTTTCTTTCTTTTTCTTTTTTTCTTTCTTTGAGTATTCACTTTCTTTTCCTCTTCAACCTTTATTTTCCATTCTTTCTTTTCTTTTTTTTTTTCTTGTTTCCTCTCAAATATATTTTCTTTCTTTCTTTTTTTTCTTTTCTTTCTTTTCACTTTCTTTCCTCTTCAACCTTTATTTTCCATTCTTTTTCTTTCTTTCTTTCTTTTTTTTTTCTTTTCTTGTTTCTTTCTTTATATCATATTTCTAGTTCCTCTTTCATAATATATTTTTTCTTTCTTTCTTTTTTTTTCTTTCTTTTTTGAGTATTCACTTTCTTTTTCCTCTTCAACCTTTATTTTCCATTCTTTCTTTCTTTCTTTCCTTTCTTGTTTCTTTCTACTCTTATATCATATTTCTAGTTCCTCTCATAATATATTTCTTTCTTTTCTTTCTTTCTTTTCTTTCTTTTTTTTGATTTCACTTTCTTTTTCCTTTTCAACCTTTATTTTCCATTCTTTCTTTCTTTCTTTTTTTTCTTTCTTGTTTCTTTTCACTTTATATCATATTTCTAGTTCCTCTCATAATATATTTTTTCTTTTTTTTTTTCTTTAGAATGTTCCTTTTTTTCCTCTTTTTATTTTCCATTCTTTTTCTTTCTTTTTTTTTTTTTCTTTCTTTTTTCTTTCTTTCTACTTTATTTATTTCTAGTTCCTCTTTATTTATTTTTCTTTCTTTATTTATTTATTTATTTATTGAACCTTTATTTATTTATTTTTCTTTTTTTCTTTCTTGTTTCTTTCTATCCCTATTTCAAATATATTTCTAACTTTCTTTTCCTTTCTCATTTTTCTAGTTTAATGTCTTTTACTTCCTTTTCTATTTTTTTTTTTTTTTTCTTTCTTTTTCTTTCTTTTCTTTTCTTTCCTTCCTTCCTTTCTTTCTTTCTTTTTTTCTTTCTTTCTTTCTTTCTTTCTTTCTTTCTTTGGTTCTTATAATATATTTCTTTTTCTCAATATACTTATCTCGCTTTCTAATTAATATGTTTTGCTTTTCTATTTAGGATTACCCCTCCTTCCTTCCTTCCTTCCTTCCTTCCTTCCTTCCTTCCTTCCTTCCTTATTCCTCTTTCTAATTAATATGTCACTTTCTTCGTTTTTTATTTAGAATGTCCCTTTCTTTGTTTCTTTGTTTCTTTTTTTGTTCTTCTTTCTTTCTTTATTTATTTATTTATTTATTTATTTATTTATTGATTTATTTATTTTGTATCCCTGTTTCAAAGTAACATGTCTTCCTTTTCTATTTAGTATGTCTTCCCCTTCTTCTTTCATTCTATTTGGTATATATTCTTTTTTTTCTTTCGCACTAACCCTGGTTTATTACTTTCCTACGGGTTTCTTTTGCCTCATTCATTAAACGCTGTGCGAGAAACTAACTTGTTATCAGTGGTAACACATTGAATGCCGCCGTTCGATTCAGGATAACTTACCTAACCCAAAAGTCCTCGGGATGTAACCTCAAGATCACCAGCCACCAGTCTAATGCTCTTATCATTGCCTCTCGTCCTGCCAAGCGCAACAAAGAATGTATGCCAAGTAAAACATTATGATGAGAGCCGAGATTTACGAAACTGCATTTATCAGAAGATAGTTAATTTTAGCAAGGGCATAAATTTACGGGGTAAACTTAAACTCAACACCGTTCACTCCTCCCACTCCTAACCAACATGACTGACAAATCTTATCAAAACTTATTTCGGAAGTCAATCTTCCAAACTTGGGGATATGTACTTTTATATATCACGTATTATAAATAAAGTTATTTTTCATGCGACCCATAACGTTCTCTCTCTCTCTATATATATATATATATATATATATATATATTTATATATATAAAGTTTTTATGTTTATACATTCTGTTTTATAGATACATATATTTAAGTAAATGGTATGTTTATAATAAACAGTATTAACAACATTTACCAGCCTGAATGTCCGAGAAATTGTCACAGAAAATATGCGTCCTCCGACAGGAATCGAACCTGTATCCTATACGGAACCGTCATATAGCCTGGCGTGCTTTTGCCGATTTCGCCACAGAGGAGCGTTTCGCTTAACAAGGTGGATTTTACTGTTTTTAAACTACAATTATCCATGATTTTCTTACGTATATTCATATCTGCTCGATGCGTATCCAAATGTAAACAAATGACGTCACACATTATGAAATGGAGAAAGTCCGACAATTATTTTAAGGCATCTTTTATGTTTATACGTTCTTTTTTATAGATACAAATATTTAAGTAAATGCTCTGTTTATAATAAACCATATTAACAAAATTGATTAACAACATACGCAGGAGATAACTGACATCCATTAGGCATGGCACGTGGAATTAGAACAGTCTAACCCAGTGAGCAAAATAAAGGGTTCAGTTCAACATTCCAACCACCTGAAGAAGGCCGGAGCGTACAACGGCCGAAACGTTGTGATAAACATGTTGACAATGATGAGGACAATAGTTCGAATAACGTAAATAGTATAAACAGAGCGTCGACTGAAATACGGGTATCCCCTTAAAATAGCGTTTGATGTAAAATATGTCTGATTAAAAATAAATTCCATTATTCTTTAGATAGTAGGCTTTATTTTTGACAAACTGTCCAGTGGATGGTCTTCCCTCGAAATGGTTTGCCATCGAAATGGTTTTCCATCGAAATGGTATGGAAGAAAAGCTTGTTGTTCTGCCGAAAGAAGTAAAGATGGCAGGGCGTAAAGATGTGTGCTTATCTCGCATGTTCTTCTGTCTCTTAACTTTGGGTCTTCGACTCTGTGGGAAAGGAGGCCCTCGGGGTTTGAACAGCGCCGAATAGGCGACCCGGACGAAAAGCAGTAGCTGTGTTGACGGGAGTAGAACAGACCACCGGTTAACCATTCGTTGTCATACGAACATGTTTCGGTTGTAAACAACAACAACAACAATAATAATAATAATAATAATAATAATAATAATAATAAGAAGAAGAAGAAGAAGAAGAAGAAGAAGAAAAGAAGCAGAATAATAATAATAATAATAATAATAATAATAATAATAATAAGAAGAAGAAGAAGAAGAAGAAGAAGAAGATGACGAAGAAGAAGAAGAAGAAGATGAAGAAGTCGTAGTAGTTTGAATTAAAAAGAATAAAACTTGTAAATCCAACCGATAATAATTTATTGTTAAGACAGATATATTTCGGAAAGCTTTTTCAAGCCTTGATCACTCTTGAGAAATAAATGAAAAACTGACAAAGCTACATTGTATAAGTCATAAATTCAAATTAACAAAAAATTTCGAACGAGTTGAGTTCACAAGACATGTATAAGCTGAAAGCGCGGGAATTGAAGAAAGAAAGAAAGAAAGAAAGAAAGAAAGAAATGTCATTTCTAAACCAGCGAAGAAAACAATTCTGTCAATTTTGTTGATTTGAATTTTTAACTTATACAATGTAGCTTAGTCAGTGTTTCATTTATTTCTCAAAAGTGATCAAGGATTGCAAAACGTTTTCCGGTATATATCTGTTTTAACAATAAATTATTATCGGTTGGAATTATAAGTTTTTATTCTTTTTAATTCAACTTCACCAATGGCATTAAAAAGAAGTTTGATTTGTAAGGGAAGTGGATAGAGAGAATGAAAAAGAAAAAGAAGTTTAATTTCTAGGGGGAAATGATGGAAAGAGTGAAGAAGAAGAAGAAGAAGAAGAAGAAGAAGAAGAAGAAGAAGAAGGGGAGGAGGAGAATGAGACAGAGAAGGGTTAATGGAAAAATGCAGAATTGATAATAATAATAATAATAATAATAATTATAATAATAATAATAATAAATAAATAACAATAATAATAATAATAATAATAATAAATAAATAACAAATAAACTGAACATCAAAGTAAAAAAAAGGCAGTCTCACAGACATGAAGATCCAATTTGAAAGAAAAATAGAAAAAGAAATTGAACACCTTAGAAGTGAATTATCAGTACTCGATGAACTAGCAAGAGGAGTAAATGTAAGAACTAGAAAAGGCAGAAGAGTCGAAAGAAAATACAATATCAGGAATGAAAATGAAGTCCTATCAACTAAAGAAAAATAAAGCAAACAATACAACTGAAGGCTCAAAGAATAAGACGCTACGAGAAAAGATCAAGATTCTATAGACAGAACAAGATCTTTCAAACCGATGCAAAGAAATTTTACAGGGAAATAGGTAAACAAAGAATTGAAGTGACAGTCCCCCTAAAATGGAAGAAGTTATACAGTTCTGGGGAAAAATATGGGCTTGCCCTAAAGAACACAACGAAGAGGCAGATTGGATTGCGCAAGAAAGTTAGAACGAATGAAAATAAACCAGAACAGACATGGGCGGGAATCACAGAAGAAGATGTTAAATGTGCACTGAAAAAAGCACAAACTGGAAATCTCCAGGAATAGATAAAATTCTAACTTCTGGCTATATTATTTAAATACAGCACAAAAACTCGCCAAAGAACTTCAAGAAAATGGTTACCGATCCAACTAAAATTCCTGCATGGATGAAGAAGGAGTTACCTTTCTTCTACCCAAAAAAGTGACACAAATATTCCGAAAACTATAGACCAATTACATGTCTTCCAACAACATACAAACTGTTAACATCTATTTTAACAAAAAACAGACATATTTCTTCTTGGAAAGAAATGACATACTATTTGTAAAGACCAATTACTTAAATAGGATGATCCTGGAAAACTGCTTCCGTGGAAAAAAAAATCTTAGTATTGCCTGGATAGATTATCGTAAAGCATTCGATAGTGTATTCCTGGATCTTAAAAGTCTTTAAGTATGTACAAGGTATCACCCGTTATCATCAATTTCATCAAACAATGTATGTCGATATGGAAAACTACACTTTACCTTCATAAAAATGGAACCTATAAGTCTGGCGAAATAAACATCAATAGAAGAATATTTTAGTCTCCTTTATTATTTTGCATATCACTTATAGCATTAACCAGCCAACTTAACAAGACAGAATGCAAAAAAAATAGCTCAAAAAGAAAATAAACCATCTATTTTACATGGATGACTTAAAATTGTATGCCAGGAATGACAATGAGCTAAGGTCTTCTGCAAACTGTTTTCGGTGAAGACATTGAATGAAATTCAATTTGGATAAAGAATGAGGATCGCTACAAACTTCCTCTATTAGTTTAACCCTGCTGTAACAATAAAAGATTTAGAACAAGGAGAAGCTTATAAGTACCTTAAATGAGAGTGAAGGAATTCACCATAAGAAAATGAAAGAAATAGTGCGTAAAGAGTACTATAGAAAACTGGTATTAAAAACTGAATTGAATTCTCAGAACAGAATTATGGCCATTAATAACCTTGCCATCCCAGTGGTCCAATATAGTTTCAACATCTTGAACTGGACTCTAAATGACATCAGACAAATGGATTCTAAAACAAGAAAAAATAAGTATAAGATGCATCATCCAAAGGCTGATGTAGACCGTCTATACATACCCCTGTAAAAGAAGGTGGAAGATCTTATTCAGCTAGAATTGTCATACAAGACAACAACTATTGGCTTACTAACTTACATGGAAACAACAAATGACTGGATGATAAAATTAGTGAAACAACATGAAAACAGAAAGACAAAATATTCAATAATAAAAAGGCAGTAAATAAAACAACATTTAAGTAGATTCTGTAGTAAATCAAAACAGAAGCCAAGAACCAACTATTGCAGCAAAAGATATGAAAAAAAGAAAGCCAAGGATAAAGCCCTTGAACAGATGAAACAACGCTGGCAAGACAAACCTTAATGGCCAATATCCAGAACGTGCAAATAAACCCAATGTTGATAAAGTTAATACTCATCGATGGTTTACGAGCATCTGGATTAAAGTCTGAAACTGAAGGCTTTATTCTTGCAGCGCAAGACCAGAGTCTTTTCACTAGAATTTTCAGGCAAATATCATACATAATAATGTGGATCCAAATGCAGGTTCTGTGACAAATACCAAGAAAACAATAGACCATCTAATCTCAGGATGTTCTATACTTGCCCAAATGAATATAAAAATCACGATAGAGTGGGGCAATACTTAACTG